AAAATCTAATCTTATCTAACATTTAAGAATTATATGGAAGTATTTAGATTCTCTGCACCTTTCTGGAACTGTAAGACAATATTCTGCATTCTGTTCCATTACCCTGATGTAAGGTATGATTTGTCTGATTAGCACGCAAAACAATACTTTTCACTGTGTCTCAACACCTGACACTAATAAATAGATAAACTTGCAATGCCAAGGCATACAAGCTCTGGAATTAGGATTACAGTAGGTGTTAGTTTTTGACCAGCATGGATACATTGGCCTGTACTGTAATTCATAGAATCCCTACAGTGTGGAAACAGGCCCTTCGGCCCAACAAGTCCACACTGACCCTCAGAGGATCCCACCCAGACTCATCCCCCCATAACACACCTAATCTACACATCCCTGAACACTACGGGCAATTTAGCATGGCCAATCCACCTAACCTGCACATCTTTGGACTGTGGGAGGAAACCGGAGCACCCGGAGGAAACCCACGCAGATACAGGGAGAATGTGTAAACTCCACACAGTTGTCCAAGGGTGGAATCGAACCCTCTGTGAGGCAGCAGTGCTAACCACTGAGCCCACTGTGTCGCCATAGAGAGATCTCTATGACTCTAATAGGTGGCTTCAATTAATGTATCGGCTGAGGTTACCTATGGCCTGGTGACTTACCTGGATATGAAAACAGCTGGTGTAAGAATTCAGAGCAACAGAATGACAAACATTATGGTCACCTCTCGGACAAATCTAGATCCAATTATTCTGGTAGAATTATGGTGACGTTACCTCTCTTGGAATGCGAGTTTTGCAGCAACATTGGGATTATGTGGTTACAGCAACATTGCAAATCCTCCTAACCACCATTTCCAACCATCGATGACTGTCCCTCAGTTCACACACATGTAAGGAGTTAAGAACAGAAATAGGGTTGTCAATCCTTTGAGCCTTCTCTGCCATTCAATAAGATAATGGCTAACGCAGTTTGTGGTTTTGCTTATTGTGCAAAGCTTCACTAGACTGATTCCCGGATGGCAGGACTGACATATTAAGAAAGACTGGGTCACCTGGGCTTGTATTTGCTGGAATTTAGGACAATGGAGGGGAGATCTCCTAAAGATATACAAAATCTTGATTGGACTGAACAGGCTACATGCAGGAAGAATGTTCCCAATGTTGGGAAAGTCCAGAACTAGGGGTTAGCCATTCAGGACTGAGATGAGGAAGAATTTCTTCACTCAGAGTTGTAAACCTGTGGAATTCTCTCCCATAGGAAGCTGTTGGGGCAAGTTCATTAGATATATTCAAGAGGGAGCTGGACATGGACCTTGCAGTGATAGGGATTTAGGGGTACGGAGAGAAAGCGAGAATGGGATACTGAGATTGTGTGATCAGCCATGATCATATTGAATGGTGATGCAGGCTCGAAGGGCCGAATGGCCTACTCCTGCACCTACTTTCTATTCTGCATAACAACACAGAGAATGAGGTTCTTGTTGACTTAGTTGTCATACAGCATAAAAACAGACCCTTTGGCCCCATTCATCCATGCTGACCAGGTTTCCTAAACTGAATGCGTCCCGCTTTCCTGTGTTTGGCCCATATCCCTCTAAACCCATCCATGTACCTGTCCAAATGCCTTTTAATTGTACCAGCCTCCACAACTTCCTCGGGCAGCTCGTTCCATACCCACACCACCCTCTGTGTGAAAAAGTTACCCCTCAGATCCCTTTAAATCTTTTCCCTCTTACCTTAAAATCTATATCTTCTAGTTTTGGACTACCCCACCACCACCCACCATCACCCCCCGCCCCCATCCTGGGGAAAACATCTTGGCTAATCACCTTATCTATGCCGCTCAGGATTTTACAAAGCTCTATAAGGTCACCCCTCATTCTCTTATGCTCCGGGGAAATAAAAAGTCCCAGCCTATCCATCTGCTCCTTATAACGCAAACCCTCCAGTCTCAGTAACGTCATTGTAAATCTATTTTGCACCCTTTCCAGTTTAATAATGTTTCCTATGGCCGTGACCAGAATTGTCCATAGAATTCCAAATACGGCCTTACCAATGTCTTGTACAGCTGTAACATGATGTCCTAATTCCTATACTGAATGCACTGACTGATGAAGGCAAGTGTGCCAAGCATCTTCTTCACCACCCTGTCTACCTGTGACGCCACTTTCAAAGAACAATGTACCTGCACCCGTAGGTCTCTCTGTTTCACAACACTCAAGGCCCTATCATTAACTGTATAAGTCCTGTCCTGATTTGTCGTACCAAAATGCAACACCTCACATTTATCTAAATTAAACTCCATCTGCCATGCCTTGGCCCACAGACCCAATTGATCAAAATCATCTTTCACTGTCCACTACACCACCTACTTTGGTGTCAACTACAAACTTACTAACCATGCCACCTGTATTCTCATCTAAATAGTTCATATAAATGATGACCAAGTAGATCCAGCACCAATCCTATCGCACACTGCTGGTCACAGGCCTCCAGTCTGAACAACAACCCTCTACCACCACCAAATCTCCTACCGGCAAGCCAATTTGTATCCATTTGGCAAGCTCTCCCTAAATCCCATGTGATCTAACCTTTCTAAACAGCCTACCGTGCAGAATCCTGTCGTAGACCTTGCTAAAATCCACGTAGACAACGTCTACCACTTTGCCTTCATCTATCTTCTTGATCACCTCTTCAAAAGACCTCAATCAAGTTTGTGAGACAAAATTTCCCATGCACAAAGCCATGTTGACTATCCCTAATCAGTCCTTGGGTTTCCAAATGCATGGAAATCCTGTCCCTCAGAACCACCCTAACAACTTACCCACCACTGACATCAGGCTCACCGGCCTGAAGTTCCCTGGCTTTTCCTTCCATCCTTTCTTAAATAACAACACATTGGGGAGGCGATGGCCTAGTGGAATTATCACTGGACTGTTAATCCTAGGGACCCAACTAATGTAATGGGGACCTGGGGTTCGAATCCCTCCATGGCAGATGGTGGAATTTGATTTCAATAAATATCTAGAATTAAAGACTCTAATCATGACCAGGAATCCATAGTCAACTGTCGGAAAAACCCATCTGGTTCACTAATGCTCTGTAGGGAAGGAAACTGCCATCCTTACCTGGTCTGGCCTACATGTGACTCCAGACCCACAGCAATGTGGTTAACTCTTAACTGCCCTTTGGGGAATTAGGCATGGGCAATAAATGCTGTCTAGCCAGCAACTTTCACATCCCGTAACTGAAAAAAGAAAAACAAAAGCTACCCTCCAATCTTCCGGCACCTCACCTGTGGCTGTTGATGATGCAAATATCTCAGCTGGGGACCCTGCAATTTCTTCCCTAGCTTTCCAAAATGTCCTGGGAAACACTTGATCAGTCCCTGTCTTGAAGTTTAGTTACAAGACTGTAACACATTTATACTGCTACAATATCATAGACTTATACACATTACAGTTCTGTACTCCTCAACGGGGAATAACACATGGACCAGAATGAAGCCCCAGCAACATCGACTGGTATATACTGGTTTTGATCTGGTCGGATCTATTTTCATGCTGGAGTTGACCACAATAGCAGTCGTTCTGTTGGTCTGAAATCTGGCACCAGCAGTTTTCATGACTTTCAGGCAGACTCATTACTTCTCAGCTGAACCTCTTACTGTCTCTCTGCGTCATTCATTTCAGAGTTATGTTCATCATTGCATTTGTCATTTTTGTAAATTTCTTAGACTGCTCCTGCTCTACACCAACCTCAATTCTTCTTTCTGATCATAGGGACAAGCTCTAAATAATAACAATCCATGTTCATTGCTGCTTTTCACGTTAGTTCTGAACAAAGAACTGAGATATCACAGACAAGTGACCACTCACGTTTCCTTTGCATTGAAGGGGAAGGTGCCAAAAGGTTAGAATATTACCTGCAGCCAGGTAAGAAAATAAAAAAAAAATCTTTATTGTGCCTTGGCGGACAGGGGCAAATAAGGGAAAAACCTGAACACAGCACTCAGCTGGGGTTGAGGGGGAAGTCTGCTAGGGGAGAGACAGTGGGAAGATCCCCAGCTCCTTTGCATCATGCTCAGACATGGACTCTAAGCAGAATAAAACTCTCCAGGAGAAAGATAAACACAGAAACTAAGACCAGCAGGCAGGCAGAGAGAGAGAGAAAATAACACACACACAAAATAATACTGCTGGAAATTACAGAGTGATTGACTACACTGATTTCATTACAAAAGTGATTTGTGAACTGCCTTAATCACACAAAGGTAGCATCCAAGTTTAGCAGGTAATAAGATGGGCAAATGGCCTTTGTTTCAAAAGGAATGGAGTATAAAAATCAGGAGGCCTTGCTAAAACAATGCAGGGCAATGGTCAAACCACAGCTGGAATACAGGTAGTTCTGCTATAATGCGTGTCTTGTTAACGCAAATTGGCTGCAACGCAATTGATGAATAATGAAGTCTATAGAGTGTGGAGCTGGAGGAACACAGCAGGTCAGGCAGCAGAGAAGCAGGAGAGTCCTGATGAAGGGTCCGAACCCGAAATGTCAACTTTGCTGCTCCTCTGATACTGCCTGGCCGGTTGTGTTCCTCTAGCTCCACACTGTATTGACACTGACTGCAGCATCTGCAATTCTTGCTACCTCCTAGCTGAAGAATAGCAGACACTGTTTGGATAATGCAAACTTTCTGCTGTCCTTTCTATAGCGATTTCCCTATAAATCAATTTTCTATAGTGAGGTCACACAAGAACGCAACTATCGTGTTTAGGAGAACAACCTGTACGGTGAACAGTTTTGGGCCCCTTATCTAAGGGATGGTATACTGGCATTGGAGGCATTCAAAGAAGATTCACTTGGCTGATCCTGGGTAGGGGCGGACTCTCGTATGAGGAGAGGTTCAGTAGGTTGAGCCTGTACGTATTGGAATGTTATTCCCATTCTTCACAGATAACATGATATGGGAGGCACAGTAAGGAAGCTCCAGTGTTTGGCCAGAATCCTTTGGAACAAACAAAGGAAAGAACGTTTTTATTGAAGGGAAACAATGCAAGTGTCATATACAAGAACAGTCCGTCTCTCCACAAGGCTCACTCCCCCACCAGCGTGGTCACTTCCTGCACATGCTCCCTGACCACACGGTCCAAAACAGCATACACGTCACCACATGCTTTTGCTGCTGCGTCCACCACTTTCTCCAGGTGGTCCTCATGCAGCCGCGAGTTCATTTCCAGCAAAGCAATCTGCTGCGACTTGGGGAGCAGGGCCAGGGCCACCTGGGGACCCCCAGCCGACTCTTCGATGTAGCTGAGGTCCACTAAAGGGGTGTCCTCGATAAAGCCTGTGGAGCAGGCACACACGTAGTCCCGCATGGGGATTCCTGCGTCGATCACAGCCAGTGTCGCCGCATTGACACAGGCGCAATAGTTGCCACCATCTGCCTGCAAGATCTGTGGAGGGGAGAACAAAGCAGGAAGTGAGCACAGATCTCAAATTTTCACTGTTGGCAATTAGAGGGGCGCTTATCTCGCAACTCCAGAGGTTGAATACCATCATATTATTGAATGTGCAATTAACCAGAATGGGAAGAGACCATTGAACTCTCTATGACATAGGAACAGGAGGAGGCCATTCAGCCCTCCAGCCTGTTCTGCCATTCAGTTAGATCTCAGCTAATCTGTACCTCAACTTAAACCATTGTTATTTAAAATCCTGTAATAATCTTACACTCAAATAAACAGAAAAGGCAGCGATGAACAATGGCGGATGTTTAAGAAAATAGTTCATGACTCACAACATAGATATATCTCAGTGAGAATGGAGGATTCCAGGAAGGAGATATGCCAACCATGGTTCACGAGGGAAGTTGCAGGTATTATCAAATTGCAAGAAAAAAACAATATGGCAAAAATTACTGGTGAGCCAGAGGATTGGTAAAAGTTTTCAAAGCCAACAACAGAGATGGAAAAAATACTTTTTAGGGAGCAAGTAATAGCAAAACAGATATTAAGAGCTTCTTCAAATTTATAAAAGAAAGAGAAAGCCAAGGTGAACATTGGCCCCTTCAAGGCTGTGGAAACAATAATGGGGAACAAGGAAATGGCACAGGAGGTGAATAAATACTTTGCATCATTCGTCACAAAAGAAGACACTGATAGCATCCCAAAATTCCTATATATTCAAAAGGAGGAACGGAAATAGATAACAGAAACTATCACCAGAGAAAAAGTGCCTGGGAAACTAATAGGGTTAAAGACTGATATGTCCCTTGGACAACCTAGGATAATGAAGGGAGTAGCTACAGAGATAGTGGATCCACTGGTAATAATCTTCAAGGAATCCTTAGATTCTAGAAATGTTGGAAATGGGGTCCTTTCAAAATGGTGTTCTCTTATATTCCCGTGTACTATGAGATCTCATCTAACTGTATAACTATAGGAGTAACTATAGGGGCAGAAATTATACCATTCGGCCCATCAAGTCTGCTCCGCCATTCAATCATGGCTGATCCTCAACCCCATTCTTCCGCTTTCTCCCCATAACCCTTGATAATTAAGAATCTATCTATCTCAGTCTTAAATGTACTCAATGACCTGACCTCCACAGCTTTCTGTGGCAGTGAATTCCATAGATTCACCACTCTCTGGCTGAAGAAGTTTCTCCTTATCTCCGTTCTAAAAGGTCTTCCCTTTACTCTAAGGCTGTGCCCGTGGGTCCCAGACTGTCCTACCAATGGAAGCATCTTCCAAACATCCACTTTGTCCAGGCCATTCAGTATTCTGAAAGTTTCAATTAGATCCCCCCTCATCCTTCTAAACTCCAATGAGTACAGTCCCAGAGTCCTCAAACGTTCCTCATATGTTAAGCTTTCCATTCTTGGGACCATTCTCGTGAATCTCCTCTGAACCCGCTCCAGAGCCAGTACATCCTTCCTGAGATATGGGGCCCAAAATACGAGCATAAATAAATTATTTATCAGGCATCACACTGATTATGAGCGCAGAATTTTGGGAATAAATGTTTGTTTGTACAAAAAATAAAAACTATCTTTCAAATGGAGTTAGGCAGAGGGCCTACTGCCGTCGTGGCTGTAACTGCCTGTACTCAATGGCAAAGAGGATTTTGACGGGGAATTGATACAGCAGAGATGACCAGCCCTTCAAAAGAGGTACATCAACAAGGGGTTGGTGAGGAGACAGTCCAGGGAAACAATCGCTATCTTCTTGGGAGAAGACCAGTATCGCCTACTTCAGTCCAAGGGAAGATCAAAGACTGAAATCACCAAAAACTGCACGCCGTCAAGGTCAAACATGCACCACTCCAAAACTGCTGCCTGTGCTCCTCCATTCTACAGAATGGCTTCAGAATCGGAAAAATGTTTTCATCTATCACAGTTGTATATTTTCTTTGTCTAAATAACAAATGCATAATTTCTAAACTGCTGCTTTTTAAGAAACTCATACTATTGGGAATTTGCCACAAGCATATTTAAAGGATTTAGATTATGGGAAGTGAATGTACTGTTGCCAAGTTTGCAGATGACTCAAAAATAGGTGGGAAGGCAAGTGGTCAGGATGACACACACAGCCTGCTGAAAGATATAGATAGGTTAAGTAGGACCAGTTGGTAAAACCTTGGCAGATGGAATATAATCTGTGGAAATGCAATATGCACTTTGGCAGGAAGCGAAGAACTGAATATTATTTAAATGGAAAAAGACTGCGGAAAGCTGGTGATGGGTTTGGGAGGCCTCATCCATGAATCACAAAAGCTCGCATCCAAGTTCAGCAGATAATAGGGAAGGCAAATAGAATGTTGGCTCTTATTTCAAAGAGAATGGAATATAAAAGTAGAGAGGTTTTACTGAAATTATACAAGGCACTAGTCAGACTACAGCTGGAATATTGTGAACAGTTCTGGGCCCTTTATCAAAGAACAGAATAACTGGCATTGCAGGCAGTCCAGAGAAGGTTCATTTGGCTGATACCAGGTATATAGGGACTGTCTAATCAGGAGGTTGAGTTTATTGGGTCTGTACTTATTAGACTAGAAAAGAATGAGAGGTGACCTTATTGAAATGCAAGATTCTTAGGGGGCTTGACTGGGTAGATGTAAGGATATTAGAGATAACAAGGTGTAGAGCTGGATGAACACAGCAGGCCAAGCAGCATCAGAGGAGCAGGAAGGCTGATGTTTCGGGTCTAGACCCTTCTTCAGAAATGGGGGAGGGGAAGGGGGTTCTGAAATAAATAGGGAGAGAGGGGGAGGTGGATAGAAGATGGATAGAGGAGAAGATAGGTGGAGAGGAGACAGACAGGTCAAAGAGGCTGGGATGGAGCCAGTAGAGGTGAGTGTAGGAGGGGAGGTAGGGAGGAGATAGGTCAGTCCAGGGAGGACGGACAGGTCAAGGGGGCGGGATGAGGTTAGTAGGTAGAGATGGGGGTGGGGCTTGAGGTGGGAGGAGGGGATAGGTGGGTGGAAGGACAGGTTAGGGAGGCGGGGACGAGCTGGACTGGTTTTGGGATGCGGTAGGGGGAGGGGAGATTTTGAAGCCTGTGAAATCCACATTGATACCGTTGGGCTGCAGGGTTCCCAAGCAGAATATGAGTTGCTGTTCCTGCAACCTTCGGGTAGCATCGTTGTGGCACTGCAGGAGGCCCAGGATGGACATGTCGTCTGAGGAATGGGAGGGGGAGTTGAAATGGTTTGCGACTGGGAGGTGCGGACATTCCCCACTTATGTGAGAGTCTATGACCAGAGGGCATTATTTCAGAATACAGAATTACCTATTGAAGACAGATGAAGGGGAATTTCTCCTCCCATAGGGGAGTGGATCTATGGAATTCTTTGCCACAGAAGGCTGTTGAGTGGAAAAGGCAGGAGAGTGGAGTTGAGGATCAGATCAGCCAGTGATCTCATTGAATGGCAGAGAAGGCTCCGACAGCTTCAACTCCTACATCTCATGTTTCTCTACCATACTTTCAAAATTCAAATTCACCCACAGCATTCCCATCTTTCAGTGAGACAGCTCCAGATTTCCACTCTCATTTATGTGAGGAAGGACTTCCTGACATCACTTTTAATGACGTTCCTAAATTTTTAGTGCTCTGTCCCAGTGTTCCAGAAACTCCGACGAGAGGAAAGAACTTCTGTTCATCTGGGGTGAGGCAGAGCATCAAACGAAAGAAGCTAAGTAAAGGGGAACTGGGATGGGAGAGGGGACTCAGGTTCAGAGCCTGACTCAGGGAGAAGGGCCAAGCAAGCCAGTGAAGATCAGATCTAGAGGCCAGGGTAAGGCTCAGACCACAATACCTGCACGTAAATATCAATTTGGGATCGCGGGTAAAGCTGTGTCAAAATGGCAGCTTCGAATGTCTGTTTCAGGTGCAGGGTCATCTCTGACGACTTGCGGTCTCCATGGGGTCTCCGCTTACGCTCGCCTGTGCTGAAGGTCGCCATGCTGTACTGGCAGTTCACCATTGCTTTGTCATGTAGGGCTTTACTGCGAGCACCACGAACCTGAAACACAGGGTACTGTGATCACTATCACCCACAACACAGACACAGGCAGCAACAAAAGGAACAGTGTAGGGGGAGCTTTACACTGTATCTAACCCCGTGCTGTCCCTGTCCCTGGGGGTGTTTGTTGGGGGGACAGTGTAGAGACAGCATTACTCTGTATCTAACCCCATGCTGTCGCTGTCCCTGTCCCTGGGAGCATTTGATGGGGGACAGTGTAGAGAGAGCTTTACTCTGTATCTAACCCCGTGCTGTCCCTGTCCCTGGGAGTGTTTGATTGGGGGACAGTGTAGAGACAGCATTACTCTGTATCTAACCCCATGCTGTCCATATCCCTGGTAGTGTTTGATGGGGGGGACAGTGTAGAGGGAGCTTTACTCATTATCTAACCCCGTGCTGTCCCTGTCCCTGGTAGTGTTTGATGGGGGACAGTGTAGAGGGAGCATGACTCTGTATCTAACCCCATGCTGTCCATGTCCCTGGGAGTGTTTGATGGGGACGGTGTAGAGGGAGCATTACTCTGTATCTAACCCCAGGCTGTCCATGTCCCTGGGAGTGTTTGATGGGGACAGTGTAGAGGGAGCATTACTCTGTATCTAACCCCATGCTGCCATGTCCCTGGGAGTGTTTGATGGGGACAGTGTAGAGGGAGCATTACTCTGTATCTAACCCCATGCTGTCCATGTCCCTGGGAGTGTTTGATGGGGGGACAGTGTAGAGGGAGCATTACTCTGTATCTAACCCCATGCTGTCCATGTCCCTGGGAGTGTTTGATGGGGACAGTGTAGAGGGAGCATTA